TTGACTTTTGTAAAAAGGTCCTACTAAGGCAACTTTCCAGTTGGATGGTATTTTTCCAGATGAAAGAGAATTGTTATATAGATGGTTGTCAAAGCCTGACTTAAATTTCGACTAGAAGTTATCAACTCGATAAAATTCGATTATCATTTTGAAATTAAAACTTTAACAATAATTGATTTGCATACATGATGGAATTTTGTATTTTAAAAGTTTTGTTTATTGTTATTTTTATTATTTGAAAGAATTTTGACGAAAATAGTTTGAAATAGGGTGTAGCAGCTCAGATATGATTGGTGTGTTCTGTCATATCTTCTGTGTGGGTGTGTGTACGTGTGTGTGTATACGTGTGTGTGTATGTGTGTGTGTGTGTATGTGTGAACTGTGTGAAAGAAATGTTTGTTGTATTATAACACAGTAGAGATATAGAGACAAATAAACAAAACGACATCAAACATGACGAAGATGCATATGGAAAGAAAGACAAATACACAAATATAGTAAATTCTAAATATAGATAGATAGCTCCTTATGTATTTCTCTCTCTCCTCTCTTCTTTCTATCTCACTCTCTCTTTCTTCTCTTCATATCTATCTTCTACTAATATCTTTCTATATATAGTTTGTTGAACTAAGCTATTTTAAAAACAAAAAAAATAATTCTTTACTTGTTTAATAGAAACATATTCTTTGGTTTATTATTTGCAAGTGAACCATCTTAAAAGGTCAACAAACGGTAGCAAAAATGAGGTTTATGTGCGTCTCTCTCTCTTTCTCTCTCTTTCTCTCTCTCTTTCTCTCTCTCTCTCTTTCTCTCTTTCTCTCTCTTTCTCTCTCTTTTTTTCTCTATATGTGTGTGTGTACGAAACGAAATCTATACAAAATTTAATTATTTTGTATCAAAAAACAGTAAATGACTATTCTTGCCAGCCAGCCGAAAACTAGAATTAACCCACACAGCCTCGTTTAAGGATGGATGCCTCCCGCCAGTCTATTCATCAGTCTAAACTCCTACCTTACTTATTTACAGATCTACCTGCTTGAAGAGCTCTGAAATCTGTAACGAGCCAACATACGCACGCTCTAAGATATCATAACTTAGATAGTTTAATACGTAACTAGAAAGGATTGTTTATATAACTTGACAATTTGAGATTCATGGAACAGTAAGCTTTCGGAAGAGAATCTTCTATCTTTCTATCTCTATCCCCATCACGAATGACTGCCTTAACGTGTCGAGAGGCGCTTCTCACTGAATGCCTTTCAAACAAATCCTCCTTCAGCTTCACTTGTTTGTTCCCTTAGAAATGTCATTCTCTATTCTTATTTTGCTAGCAGAAGGGGGCTCAGTGTAGAGTTGTTCACAACCTCAAGTTGACAGGCGGCAGCCAATCATTATTGCGGGTAGTCTTTCGGCGACAACCTCGTCTATGATTGGCTGCCAAAATTAACGCGAGCAAGGTTCTGTGGAAATGTCAACAGGGTTTTTTTTTATTGTTATTATTGTTAGTGCTACAGTTGCTGTCATCGTTATTGTTATTATTATTATTGTTGTTGTTATTATTGTTATTATTATTATTGTTATTATTATTATTATTGTTGTTGTTATTATTGTTATTATTATTATTATTGTTATTATTATTATTGTTGTTATTATTATTGTTATTAATGTTATTTGCAACCAGCTTATCACGATGAACTTAAGTTTTTTTTGTCGTGCTAATTTTACACCCTGCAAATAAGCAAAGAAATGTTTCACAATTATTTTGTCATTATTTATTTTTGTCGTCGTCATAGTAGTAGTTGTTGTTGTGTTGTTGTTGTGGTAGTAGTAGTAGTAGTAGGAGTAGTAGTAGTAGTAGTAGTAGTAGTAGTAGGAGTAGTAGTAGTAGGAGTAGTAGTAGTAGTAGTAGTAGTAGTAGTAGTAGTAGTAGGAGTAGTAGTAGTAGTAGTAGTAGTAGTAGTAGTAGGAGTAGTAGTAGTAGTAGTAGTAGGAGTAGTAGTAGTAGTAGTAGTAGTAGTAGTAGTAGTAGTAGTAGGAGTAGTAGTAGTAGTAGTAGTAGTAGTAGTAGTAGTAGGAGTAGTAGTAGTAGTAGTAGTAGTAGTAGTAGTAGTAGTAGTAGTAGTAGTAGTAGTAGTAGTAGAAGTAGTAGTAGGAGTAGGAGTAGTAGTAGTAGCAGTAATAGTATTCTTTGTTTATTACTAATATATAATAATATTGATCAGAAGAGAACTCTTTAATGAAACTTACTACGAAATAACAACAACAATAATAATATTAATAATACTAACTATAATAATAATAATAATAACTATATTATCATAATAATTTATGCAGATAAATAATTACAGTGTTATAAATAACTCCACCGATGATTAATTGTGAAAATATTCCAGCGGAGATCGATTAAATGGCTTTTGATACGAAGGAATTTGCCGCATGGTATTTAGAAAGTTATCGTGAAAATTTTAAAAGCCTGCCTGTTGAGGTTGACGAACATTTAATTCGAGACGAGACGAGACGAGACACTCACACGCACACACACACACACATAGTCGCACGCACACACACACACACCATATTCACACACACACAGAGGCACATACACACACACACACACACATACATAGGTGCATCGCCATCATCATCATCATCAAGGCTATCATCAAATTATCATCATCATTATAAACATCGTCGTCATTGTCTTCCTCCTCATCATCATCGTCATCATCACCAACACCCACCACTTGTTATCATCATCATCATAACCATTATCATCGCGACTACCACTTCACTCATCAAAAGATAGTTTTTTAACCCAAATTTTTGCCATATTTCAAATGATTAGCAAATCAAAAGGGAATATGTGAAAGATGAATGAACGAAGGAACGAATGAATGAATGAAGGAATGAATGAATGAATGAACGAACGAACGAACGAACGAATGAATGGATGAATGAATGAATGAATGAATGAATGAATGAATGAATGAATGAATGAATGAATGAATGAATGAATAAATGAATGAACGAATAAATGAACGAACGAACGAACTATAAATCACATATACAAACAACAGTGTTTGCCATATTGACTGAAAATGTAGCTGATGATGACAAAGACAATGATGATGATAATAATGATGATAAAGATGGTGATGATACGACGACGATGATGAGAAAAAAACGCATATAATCATATCTATTAGGATTATAGAATAAGATTCGAAATTTTCAAGATCGAAAGAATGTGCGAATTTTTAAATGAAATTTGAAAAAGGTAATAAATGAGAGATTAAAATAGAGAAAGAGAGAGAAAAAGAGAGAGAAAAAGAGAGAAAAAGAGAGAGAAAAAGAGAGAGAGAAAAAGAGAGAGAGAGAGAAAGAGAAGAAGATTGTACAGAAAAAGAAGAGAAAGAGAGAGAGAGAGAGAGAAGGAAAAAGAAAGAAAAAGATTATACAGAGAGAGAGAAAGAGAGAGAGAAGAGAGAGAGAAAAGAAAGAAAGGTATAGACAGAGAAGCAGGCAGACATACGAACTTTTACAGACAAGTGTAATTCTAGAGAGCAGTTATACATAATCTTTCGAACTCAAAAAAACAAACCACCTTGCTTCTTTGTGTTTGTGTGTGTTTGTGTGTGTGTGTGTGTGTGTGTGGTGTGTGTGTGTGTGGCGTGTGTGCGGTGTGTGTGTATGTGTGTGTTTCATTTTTTCATTGTTGATTGTTTGTATACGCTTTGTTTATTCATTGTCTCTTGCCAACTTTTTAAATTAATCTGTT